GGGTTCGATTCCGGTCAGGGGCATGTACCTTGGTTGCGGGCACATCCCTAGTAGGGGGTGTACAGGAGGCAAGCTGATCAATGTTTCCCTGTCATCCATGTTCCTAACTCTATCCCTCTCCCTTTCTCTCTGTAAAAAATCAATAAAGTATATTAAAAAAAAAAAAAATATATATATATATATATATATATATATATATATATATATGATACTGTTTTGCAAAATAATTTAGTTTTAAAAGAAAATATAACCCATATCTTACTTATCTCAACTCTATTTTGGAAATAATATGTATATAATTATGAATAATTTTTAATTGCATATGCTTCTTTTAAGAGAGGGATAAGAGAGAATAATATTTGTGGCCTAAAAATTATGTGTATCACACCAAAACATTCTCTATTCATTTCAAAGATATTCTAAAGTTAGTTATGAAAACTAATCTTTTTAAAATCCTCACCCAAGGATAGGGTTGTTTTTTTTTTATTATTTAGTTTTAGAAAGGGAGAGGGAGAGAGAAAAACATTGATTATAAGAGAGAAACATCGATCAGTTGTTTCCCATACACGCCCTGACTGGAAATCCAGCACATAATCTTTTTTGGTGTACAGGACAATGTTCCAACCAACCGAGCCACCCGGCCAGGGCTATAAAAACTGATTTTTAAAATTACTTTCTTTTAGCTAAATTCAATAAAAACCATTTTTTCCAAAGATTCAATAAATTAAACACTCAAACCAATATATGTTTGTGGATACTACCTAAATCATCCCACTTTATATCAAGTTGTTTAAAATAGGCCCCTCATAAGATCAATTAATAGAGTTAGAGCCTTTGTCTACATCTTCTTATTCTACCACACACATTAATGGAACTCAAATTATAATAGTAAATGTTATTTTAATAGAAGAGCTGACTTATTAACCACTTCTGTCAAAGTACCATATATGGACTCCCACAGCCAGGCCACTGATTTAATACACAAGGTAGAGAGCCAAAAGGCTTGTCTGCATGGAAGAAAGGAAAAATATCATTATAGCTCTCTTAACATTGAAGACTTGGCTAAGACACTTCTTTTTTAAAAATCACTTGGTAACAGCTCTATTATCTGAAGATGAAAACAAGGTTTAAAATTCAGTTAAGTGTTTAATCTTGCCCTCATCAATATTTTATCCTTTTGTGGCAAAAGGATAAACTTTGATGACAAATTTTAGAAGCATAATGCTAACAATGAACCAAAGGACAAGTTACATATATGCTGAAAGTATCTGCTTAACTTTACTTGTTTTTCACAGAACTGTATAGAAATAATTTTGAGAGCTGTGACTATATGTCTAATAAACCATTTTAGATTTATATTTAAGTACAAATATTTCTACTATAGTTTTTAAAAAGAAAATACAGTCAGTTCTCAGTATCTGGGAGTTCTACACCTGTAGATTAAACCAACTGTGATTGAAACACTTGGGGGGTGCGGGCAGGGGGAAAGGGGGGCCAGAATGTTACCCTGTTGCTAACATGTATAACATGTACTATGTAGTGAGGCCTAGGATGGTTGCTTCTATACTGAACATGTACAGCATTTCTGCCTTGTCATTATTCCCTAAGCAACACAGTGACAGCTATTTACATAGATTTACATTGTATTAAGTATTATATGTATTATAGACATGATATAAAGTATACAGGAGAATTATATGCATAACCAATGGACACAGACAATAGTGTAGTGAAAGCCTGGGGTGGGGCAGGGGCTGGGAGGAAGATGATTAAGGAGGTTGGGGAAATTGAGGTACTTCTTCAAAACTATCAACAATAAAAATTTTAAAAATAAAATATTCAGGAAGATGCACATAGGTTAGATGCAAATTCTGTATCATCCTATATAATAAAAGCCTAATATGCAAAATGACCAAATGGCAGAATGACCAGTGGAACGACCCATAGCTATGATGCGCACTGACCACCAGGGGGCAGACACTCAACCCAGGAGTTGCCCCTAGCCCATAGGCCCCAAGCCAGCCAAGGTGGGTGCCAGTGGGTCCTCCCTACCCCCGTTTGCCCCACCAGTCACCCTGCAGATCGGCCCTGATTGCCGGCCAGGCCTAGGGACCCTACCCATGCACAAATTTTATGCAGCGGGCCTCTAGTTTTATATAACAGACTTGAGCATCTGTGTATTGGGGGATGGGGAGAGATGACTGTAACTAATCAGCAAATTGATAAGGACTTTAAGTTTTATTGGTCTTTAGCTAGGGATGTTCTCTAAAATGTTAAAATGGTCACATGTATGATATATTATGATTTGATTCCTCAATCTGAATAAAAAAATAATTTCCTTCACACATATTTTCTCTTCTGAGAGCAAAAGAGAAGAACATTAAACCAAAACATAATGCTAACACGTAAAGGTTTAAAAACTTAAAAAGCATGTACATCTTTATTTGAAAACTTCTCTTGAATACATGAACATAACTTCCTGCTTAAAAGTAACACAACTGAAATAAAGTATTCTTAAAAGACAATGACATTAAGATTCATGTTAAATGAGTGTTAAATATTACTTCTATTTAGAAATAGTTTCTTGTAAAAGCAATAAATTATAAACATAAAATATTCTTAGATTGTTGGTTTACAATTTGTATAGGATAGATAATTTTGAGAGAGATAAGAAGAAAGTAGAATGAACAGCATAATTAAAAAATGTTCTATTTGGCCAAAGCCATTAAGCAGAGATTATAAACTTCACTTCCATTTTAAGTCCCTTCTCATGTCTAGAGGTTAACAAATGCATTCTAAAATAGTAAAGGAAATGCCTCATCTCTTCAGAGGGATTTTCAACAAAGGTAACAAAGACCTAGATATAAAGTCATGCTCCAACACTGAAATGAAGGAAAACATATGATAGAGAAAGTCATTTTTGGATAAATAAGATAGCTATTAGCTTTTTTCACTCTGAACCAAAAATTCTTTATTTACTACTCAAACCAATAATAAAATTACAGAAGATAGGTTTTTAGAGCGTTTCAAGTAAACAAATCCATAATTTCTAGTAAAAAAGGAAAACCTATTAAAACACTCTAATACACACTACACCCTCGAGTGGGCAAGTATCCATGGAAAAATATAAAGATTTAGTTTGATTTTCCACTCAGTTAAATCAGTCCTATAACTAATAAAATTATGGTTCTCAAACCTCAAATTTCACATTATTTTAATCACTGACTATCTGAGTTAGAAGTACAGATTTTTTAAAATAGCAATTTAGATCTTACAGAGCAGTAATGTAAGAAATAAAATCACAATCTGCTTATATATTCCCTTAAAAAACAAAGTGCTTTGAGATTCTTATTTCTTCAACTTATAAAGTGAAAAAAGATAAACAGAGTAAATCCCATTAAAGATGTATAATTAAAAGATGAAGTACATTTATATCATGAATTGCAAAGGCAGCACTAATATTTTAAAGCAAAATATAAGAATTATGGTTCCTTAGTGAAAACTGTGGCAGAAAAGCAGTATGTTCATTAAGTTTTTCAGGAAAACAACTTACATTATCACCTGGTAATATTTAGTATTACTGGTCTCATGGGGCTATGTGGTCACTACACAGAAATATAAACACACTTAGAATAAAATTAAGACACTACCTAAAAGAGCCCTTATTCTATATGGCTAATGTTTTGGCACTTAAATGATATAACAGAAGCAAAAACTAGATTAAAAGTATTCCACAATGGCCCAAATGTCAAAGTTTCTCCAGTTTACAACAGAATACAAAACATATATTTAACACATAAATATAGAAATCATGTGTGAAGGTGTGCATTTCCAAAATGTATCAAGGAATTTTTGATAAAAAAAATATACATATATATATATATATATATATATATATATATATATATTCTCTAGGAAAAACTAGTACAACGAAGAACTGCTTCAGGTCTTGAACTTATTAACTAAGAAGTGAGACTAGTAATTAAAGGACAACAGTGACATCTAGTGAACATTTCAAATATATACCACATATATCTTGAATCAAAACTTTATTTCCAGTGTTTCACATATTTCAACCTGCCTGAGCAATTATATGACAAATCTTTCGTTTTAAACCAATATAAGGCAATTCTGATCCAAAACGACTTCTCAATATGATGACCCATTCATGTGATTAATACAAGTAAAGACAAGGTCTTAATATAAACAAGTCAAGTAAGAGTCCAGGCCAACAAGTTAACTAAAAGTATTTCAAAAATCACAGGTGCTTCCCAGATCCCCCAGAACCAATGAATTTAAAGCTTTTAATTATTATTTGAGTTCAATGATTTTTCTGACAAGAAACAATGCTAACTCAACTGGCTGGTTTAATTAGCATATTATACTTTTATTATTATAGATTTACTAGAGGCCCAGTGCATGAAAATTTGTGCACTGGAGTAGGGAGAACAAGAGGGAGGGAAGGGAGGGAGAAGGGGAGTGTCCCTCAGCCCAGCCTATCCCTTCTCATAGTCTGGGAGCCCATCAAATCTGGAATGTCCTACTGTGGGACGATTATGAAAAGGCACCGCCTTCATCACCCTGCTGTAGCTACTGGCCCCTTGCTTCTTAGCATTGGCCCCACCCCCTACCCACTTTTGGGTGGGGGGTGACCTGGGGCCAGGCCGGCTGGGGGAGGGGCAGTGGGAGGTGGAGGCACAGCAGGTCACAGCCTGTCCAGCCTCTGTGGAGGCATGGTGCCGGGATTAGGAGGCCTCTCCTGCCCTAGGCCCTCGCAGCCACTGTGGCTTTGTTCGGATGGATGTCTGGAAGACATCTGGTCTAATTTGCATAGTATCCTTTTATTAGTATAGATTATTGTATTATTTTCCATACAAATGACTGTTTCTCTACTTTTGCCCACCCCTGAATTAACATTTTAATCTCTCTGAATATCAAACATGACTATCTTCTAAAGAGTCTGATTGATACATAAATATTTTTAAAATGTGAAAACATACCCGAATTTCTTGAAGGTTATGGAAATTATTTCCTACTCTGACTGAAATCTTGCTTGGAGTATAGCTTTCATCAGATTTGTAATCCGCATAAATGCATAATGTCTTCACCGTTGTTTTTCTTCTAAAAAGCAATAAAATAAAAACATGATCTTTATCTTATGGAAAGATTATATCCAAAACATCTTATCTTCTTATTTTAAAAATCACTGTTTGCTAAAATGATTATCTAAATAAAAAGTTTTGATGTTCTTTACTTTTAACAATGATAAAAATGAAAAACATGTAAAAAACATAGAACATAGATACATATTTTGCTTATATAGACAGGCATTGCTTATCTAGAGCAAAGTCAAGAACCAGATGTGAGCAAAGAAGAAACAGTTAAGCCAAAATAGAATCATACAAAAACGATTTGAAAATGATAATTTTGGAGGTGTGGAACTATGGGAGATATTTTTCTTCTTTATCTACCATGTGTATCGGTTAATAATGTAGATTTTGTAATCAAAGAAAACATGATAATTTCAAGAGAAACATCAAAAGTGCTTTATCCAAAGTAATGTCCATCGCTAGCTATGCATTTCCCCCATCTTTCAGGTAATTTATGGATACTGTCCCTATAAAATGTGTCTTGTTTTGAGGCAAACCATTCAGAGACCCAATTTTCCACTTTTTCATTCGTTTTGAAGTGCTGTTCAGAAAATGCATGTGCCATCGATCTGAACAAGTGGTCATCTGAAGGAGCAAGGTCTGGTGAATATGGTGGGTGGGTTAATACTTCCCAGGAAACATCTTTTAACGTGTCTTTTACTGGTTTTGAAGTATTTGATGGTGCGTCATCATGAAGCAAAATTACTTTGCCATGTCTTCTGGCACATTCTGGTCATTACACGATCAAAGCATGGTTCAAATTATTTGTTGTTGGTAGCGATCAGTATTAACGGTTTCACCTGGTTTTAGAAGCTCATAATACAACACACCTTCCTGATCCCACCAAACAGAGCGTTGTCTTCTTTCCGAAGCGATTTGGCCTTGCAGTCAATGTGGATGGTTGACCTGGATCAATCAATGATTTTGTGAGTATGGGATTCTCAAAATAAATCCACTTTTCATTGCCAGTCACTTTCTTTCATGCAGTTGAAGCAACATTTTACTGATCACTTTCAGTTTTCCATTTGTCTTTTGTTCAGTTGATATGGCACCCATTTTCCTTCCTTTAAAATATTTCCCATTGCTTGTAAATGATCAGAAATTGTTTGCTGAGCAACATTTAATCTTTCTGCAAGTTGTTTTTGAGTTTGACAGGCATTTTCATCCATTAATACTTGTAATTGTTAGTCTTCAAACTTTTTCAATTAACCTGAATGTTCTTTGTTTTTTACATCGAAATCATCACTTTTAAAGTGTTTAAACCAGCATTCAAAAGTATCTTGAGATTGAGAATGTTCACCATAAGCTTTCGAAGTATACGATAACTTTCAGTAGCACTTTTCTTCAAAATGAAGAACTAATGAATTAAAACTTCCCACAAATGCTCTTCTTTGGCATGAAATTCAACATTTTTTAATTTTTATTTAAACATTTTTAAGTGTATTATTAACACCTTCAGAAAATTTGACATATGATGTTTTGAAGCTTGCTGTCAACATAACAAAACAGTATACATATCAAATTGCATATATATCAACATAAGTGTAACGCCATCTATTGAAAAAAATCCACATTATTTTACATTATGGTACATCTGGTATGTGGTTTAAAAAAAATTTTTTTTAACAATAAGCATTTGTTATTTTGGTCCTTAAAAAAAATTTAGACAATTTTAAACATCAACACACACACACACACACACACCAAGAAGTCCATTTAAATGTGCTTTAAAAGTTAAGTTCTGGTATAAACTGGCACTAACTTAACAACAATGAGCTCCTTGAACAGAAGAAGTCTGTGTCAAAAGTCAACCTATAAAAACAGCAGGGGATCTGTAACTCTTAGTGAGGGGACCAAACTTCTGTAGACCAAGCTATTCATCAGAAAGGAATGGGGAAAGTTAAGGACTTTCCCGCAAATAATAAAGACAGATGAAGATGTAAAATGCTAAATACCCAGGAACTGCTGACAGGATAAATACCGTTACCAGGTTTTAAAAAGAGGCCAGAGGTATCAAACGAACATCTTTCTGTTACTGCAGAGCCAGGAAGGAGATATGAGAGGAAGCAAAGGAAGAAAGGAAAATTCTGAAGGGCACACAAAAGACTTTCTCTCTGATGAGCCATAAGGAGGCAGTAAAAGGTCTTAGACAGAAAGATCTATATCATGAAGATTATTCCTAAGGACTTCTTTCTAAAAAAATGAAAACAGATCTAAAGGACCAAGCTTTTTAATCAGAGTAATTTTATCTCCAAGTTATAAAATACAGGACAATTTAGGCACTGGAACCTATAAGATAATTAGGGTGAGGTTAGAAAGACAAAGAATAACAATAACTCTAATCACTGTAAACACAACAGCTACAGCAGCAAATAGCCCACTGGATAGAATACTCTATCCAGCCCAGAAGTAATGGCTTAAGTGTATTAACTCATGTATTCCTCAACTTTGTGATATGGGAGCTATTATCACCTTCATTTCATTGATTTAAAAAAAAGATAAAATAATACTCAGGTTAATAATATGTTAAAGTCGAATAGCTAGTAGGTAAGAATTGTAGGAGTTGAAACATGTCTGCCTCACTTGATCTTAAACTATCACCTTCCTACTAGTATGTAACAAACTGTACTTAGCTTATTCAACAGTCATTGATGATGATTACAGTATTATGCAGGTATTTACACTTCTTTAAATTTTATCTACACCACGGGATGTTATCCTAAGGCCCATGTATCTCCACTAATCATATGTATAATCTATGCTATATACATTGATTCATTAAATTTGCAAAGGAAATTGTGACCCCACCAAAGTTTAAAGTTATTGCTCTAAAAAGTATCAGTAAAGCCTTTTTAAATTATTTATAAACTAGAGGCTCGGTGCACATTTGTGCATTTGGGGGGCCTCTCAGTCCAGTCCAGGAACCCTTGGGTGATGTCCAACTGATGTCCCACAGGGAGCAGGCCCAGGCTATCAGCCGGAAAGGACATCCTTAGTGCTGCCACAGAGGTGGGAGGCTCCTGCCATCACATCTGCACTTGCCAGTCGTGAACCCAACTTCTGGCTGACCACCAGGGGGCAGCTCCTGTATTGAGCGTATGCCCCCTGCTGGTCAGTGCGTGTCATAGTAACCAGTCATTCCGCCATTCAGTCCATTTGCATATTAGCCTTTTATCATATAGGATTAGAATTTATTTCATGGTGAATTTAAAATAGCAGTGCATGTGGGAAGGTTAAATACATAGATTATGAGAAGTACTACTAGCTACTCAAACTGCTCAAATCATCAATGTAGTAATAATCACCAAAAACTAAATGCTTTCTATACTCTAGGCATCCTGCTAAACTCTTAGGATAAGGTATTATAGGAAGGGAGAAGGCACAGGGTAACACTTACTCATTTCTGATGACATAAGTAATTCCCAGCCTCTCTCTATTCCCTCACCCACTACTTTCTTTCTGCTGACAAAGAGCTGCTGGCAGACAGTAAACATTTAATAGGGACAGGCTCTACCTGGTCTATTACTTTCTTAACTGGATGGGTAAGTCTATGTAATTCTAGATTCAATATTAGGAAAACACTTGACTGCAGATATAAATCCCTTTCTCTTATAAAACTTTGTTAGTTTTATAAAAATGATGTTTCAGTCTCCACCTGCTATAACTCTTGAATAATTTCCCAACTAACTTAGAACCCATGAAATTTCAACAGAAGAGATTAGTGACAAACACTCCTAGTGACTAACAGCCCCTTTTCCTTTTTATCTTCATAACATCTGGCTAAAAGGCATTATTCCCCTACTCGCCTGATCTTGCCCCCAACTGCCTTCCCCTGTCAGCCTGATTACCCCTAACTGCCTCTACCTGCCTGATCACCCTAACTGCCCTCCCCTGCTGGCCTGATCTCGCCCCCAACTGCCCTCCCCTGCTGGCCAATTTGGTTCTGATTGGTTGGTTACTATGCCAGTCAGTGTCAAAAGCTCCACCTCCTAGGCAGCCATTGGCTCCTCACAGTTCACCCAGATTTGGTTCTGACTGGTAGGTTTCTATGCCAGTCAGTGTCTCCAGGCCTATCTCCAGGCCTGATCAGAAAGGTGTGGCTGATTGGCAGTCTCCATGGAGAGAGAGAGAGGCAAGAGCTGATCAACACCTGCCATGAAGGATGCGGATCAGACCCTGCCTCTCTCTGGGCCTGTTCTGCAGCCCCCTCAGCAGTCAGTGCTGGGTCACTACGGCAACCCAGCACTGACTGTAGGACTGACCTCCAGTGTTCAGTCGAGCTTTCAGTTGTTACAGACCCTAGGTTTTTATATATTAGGATTAGGATATATATGCATGTATACACACACACACACACACACACACACATCCTATATAATAGAGGCAATATGCAAATTAACCTTCACGCCATCACAAGATGGCTGCACCCACAGAGGAGATGGGGTTCCCATAACGAGTGATCAACAGGGACTTGAGGCTGCATGGCGCCAAGTCAGGGCAAGGGACCTGAGGCTGTACCCCCAACTCAGGAGGGCTTAATGGGGGATCTCAGGTCACATCCTCCCCCTCTACCCCCCACCCCACCTGGCAGGGCAAGACAGAGGGCCTCAAAGTGCACCCCCAACCCTGGTGCCGGGCTGGGGGACCTCAGGTCACACCCTTCACCCCAGGCCAGGGAACCTGAAGCTGCAACTCTGCCCCAGGGGACTTCAGGCTGTACCCTACCCCGGCACTGACCCAGGGGACATCAGGCTGCACACCCCATCTGGCAGGGCTTGATAGAGGATCTCAGACTATGCCCCCCGCCTGGCAGGGCTTGACGGCAGATCTCAAGGCATGCCCCTCAACCCGATGTTGCGTGGAACACCTCAGGCCACGCCCTTCACCCCAAACCGAGGGACATGAGGCTGAGCCCCCTGCCCTGAGGGACCGGAGGCCGCACCCCATGCTCTGGGCCAGAGGACCTGACAG